AAATAAATACAATTTTTTGAATATTTTTGCTATTTGTATTATTTTTTCTATTGCTTCTTAACATAATCTTATTGAAAATGTTTTATTTGTTGAAATATTTTATTTTTTTAAAAATTGTTTGACATTTCAATATTACTCGTCTAAATTAAAATTACACACATTGGGGCTAAAATATAAAATTTAAACACAACATGTGTAATTATAAGTCGAAATGTTTATTTTATTGGAAACATGTTTATGAATAACCAAAATACTACATTTTATTTAATATTATATAATTAACTTACGCATCTTCTGTAATTTTCGCAAAAAACTTACATACTTTGTAATAGTAATTTTACATGCATATTTTAGAGTGTAAAACACTCTTGGAATTTAAAATTTTAAATATACTTTAACCTGTTATTTTTTATCGAAACGATATATTAAAGGTTTTCATAAAAAAATTCTTTATCTATCTGTTAAACGATAATCGGATATTGTGATTGTGGCCCTGAGAGTATCAAATAAGACTCGGGAGTACAACGGTACTTTTGAACATCAAATAGTATCAAAAAAAGTACCATCGTACCAATTTTGCCATCCCTGGTTGTATGATGATTGGTTTCTTGAAAATGAAATGGTGTGATAACCAATACTATATAAAGACTTAAAAACATATGTTAATAGTCGCAATTTATATAGTCCATATATTGGAAGAATTGTAACAGATACATCTTTATACAGAGATAATGTTGAAAACGTCAAAGGCAAATTGTAAACTGTTTTTAAAGCTTTATTCTGGCATCATTGCAATGATTTTAGCTCGTTGTTTTTTTTGAAGGCATATAAATTAGGTAAGTAATTTAAATGACTATGAACCGACGTTTGATAGATAATAAGTTTTGTTTTTGTATTAAATTTATTTTTAAACTTATAAAGTAAGCCTGTGGCTGATACTATCTTAGATTTCAGATGTTGAACATGAATATTCCATGAAAGATTACTTTGTAAATATATACCAAGAAATTTTGTCGACAAAGTTTCAGTTACAATGTTTCCATCGACAAATATATTGAAATTCTGACCATCTATCGAATAAGGTCTAAATCTTATTAGTTTGGTTTTTTTTTGCATTTAAGTTCAACTTGTTAATCCTCATATACTCCATAATTAGTGCTGAGTCATATTCCATTTCGGTTTTCAAAACAAGTTCGTGTTTATAAGGGTATAAAATACTAATATCATCTGCGAACATTATAAGCTTTCCAAATAGTTGTAGATTTTGTATGTCGTTCAGATAGATAGAAAACAACAATGGGCCTAATACACTTCCCTGTGGAACTCCAAACTCAACAGCACTCAAACTGCTCTTCTGAGAATTAATTTCTACATATTGTTGCCTATTCGATAAGTAGTTTTTTAGCAATAATAACGAACTCTGGTTAAGACCGTAATAACGAAGTTTTTCTATCAATATTGCATGATCAACAAGGTCGAATGCTTTTGATAAATCATAAAAAATTCCACCTACACCATTAAATCCATTATCTAAACCTTCGCAAATATTATTTACCATGTTGATTAAGGCTTCCTCTGTCCCACATCCTTTTTTGAAACCATATTGATATTTAAATAATAACTTGTGTTCATCCATATACGATAATAATTGTTTATAAAGAATTTTTTCGAATACTTTATCAATTATTGGCAGTAATGCAATTGGTCTGTATTTTTCTATAAGTACAGCATTGAATTCTTTGGGTATGGGTACAATTTTTGCTACTTTTAAAACATTAGGGTATATTGAGGTGTTGACAATATTATTAAAAATTCGTAAAAGGTAGGGCGTAATAAGGCTTTTGCATTTGCACAATAACTTTGGTGATATTTCATCATGTCCACCGCATTTATTAATATCTAGATTTGAAATTATATCACTAATTTCATTAAAAGTTGTATGATTGAATTTAAAAGTACTTTGATAATTGTTTAGAGTTCTTAACTTATTACAATTGTCGCCAGGTAAGTTTTGTATTTGGTCTTTCAATTTTCTTGAAGTTTCAATAAAATATTTGTTAAAAACATTGCTTTTTTGATCATCTGTAATCAGTTCTCCATTTTCATCTTTTACATTTATTTGACGTTTTATGTTTCGACCTAGATTTTCATTTAAAAATTTCCAACATTTCTTCGGTTCTTGTTGAATTTGGCTTAAGTTTTCAAAATAGTAATTATTCATACATTCTCTACAGGCCTTCCTAATAATATTGCTAATTCTCTTCAATATGCTATCAACATTACATTTTCGTTTTCTTCGCAGTTATAATAATTTTTTCTTATATAATATTAAATCCTGTAAGTTTTTATTCATCCAAGGCGTTATTTCATTTTGTTGTAATTTTTGTTCACATTTTTCTGTAGTAGCAATTTTAGCAGCATTTGACATGTATTTAATAATATTTGAGGCATCTTCCGACGGATTTCCAGATTCTTGATATGTCTGTAAGAAATTATGCAGTTTAAATTTTGCAAGCTCATAATTACAAATCTTCGTCTTTATTTCAACATATTCATTATTACTTCAAATTTGTGACTTAATTTTGCATGATATTATATTATGATCTGTTAATTCACAAGAAATAGTATCTATAAACATTGTTTGATTTATATTACTATAAACATGATCAATACATGTACCAGATCTTGGTCGTGTTTCTAGTGTGTGGCAAATTTGGTAGGAAAAAGTTGATAACAAGTTTTTCAAATCAGACGATAATAAATTTTGTAAAATATCAATATTAGAATCACAAACAATTATGCTAGGATTTCTACCACAAAAAGTCAGTAAATTTTCTATAAATTCAGAGAATTTAGAAATACAGCACTTCTGAGATATTTAGAATGATGTAAATTTTAAAGCAATAGCATTAATTTTGATATCTTCCAAGGTTGTAGTAATTGTTTCGATAAAGTCTTTACATTGACAGATTTCTGTTTTATATTTTAAACTGTTGTGTATAAAAATTGATGTCCCGCCATATCCATCTGATCTACAGCAATGAACACAATTGTAACCAAATATATTATAGATTTGCACTACGTTTAAAGAAAACCAAGTTTCTTGTACAGCAATGATGCTGGGCAGTTGTGGAAATTTTGTAATCATTGTTTTAAACTTATTAAACTTATCAATTGCAGAAATGCTTCTCATGTTAACAGAAATTATATTTAACAATGGGAAATTAAAAGATGTATAATAATTTTCAAATATTTCAAAACTATTAAAGTGTTTATTCATTAAAAATTGATTATTTATTAAAAAAAGATCTATATTTTTAATTATTAATTAGGAGATAAAAAAGCAGAATGATTGTCATCGTCATCTGTGTCTTCTCTTGGGTGATGATTTGATCTACGTTTCAACGGATTAGTTGTTGCCGCCAATAGTAAACTATCTACATCTTCTTCATTTTTTATTAATTTGGGCTTTAACGTACACTTTTCCATTGAAGGTATAAACCGATATGTAACCAACATTTTTTAAAGATTTTGAATATTTCAAAACGTTTAATGTTTCTTTGCTTAAATAATCATTAATGAAAACATTTTTTAGTTTCATCATTTTCTTTTAATTTATTTTTAACTGCCATAAGTTTATCTTTTACTTTTTTAGACTCAAATTTTACTATCATTAGTTGTTTTTTATTTGTAGGATTTTTATTTTTAAGAACAAAAGCTTCTTCAACATCATCTTCAGTTAGATCTACTCCAACATTCCTAGACATTTCAATTACAGTGTCAACAGCAGTTGAATTTTCTTTTAAAAACGACGCCACTAATTAGGCAATTATTTTTTACACGTTCATCATTTAAAACTTTAATAGATTCTTTTAATAATTTTACTTCAGTTTTCAATTTTTTGTTTTCTTTTTGCACAGCATCAATTTGTTTTTTATTTTCTGCCACCCCTCGTATTATTTCATCAAATTGTTTTGACATAAACACCATAGTTTCTTGTAATTCCGACAGCTGATCTAGTTTGTTTAATTGTTTTTTTATTTCATATAATTCTTCTTTTACACTTCCACCACCTTCGTTACAGAGATCACAAAAATAATCGGCATTCTCATTGTTTACTAAATTCGTAAATTGACGTTTATCAAGAGAGGTACACAATGCATGATATATCTTAGCACACTTGTCACATTCAATGCTATCTTCATTTTCTTTCACATCCATTTTACATTGCCCACAAATAAATTTATTTGTTTTTAAACTGCGACAAGATTTACCAGACATTTTTCTATTTACTAGTGTTCTTTGGTTTTTGTTTTGATTATTAATGAGTCTTTTATGTTTATCAAAGAGAATAAAACCGTATTTTTTAATTAAAAAATTTGAGCTATATCAGATATGTATAAAAAAATAACCGTGTTCGCTCGTAAAGGGTTGCCAACTCTAGTCGACATCGATAAATCGATCCAATCCTTTTGGGAAATTGAGGAAACTGGTAGTCTAGGAAAACAGGATGATAAATCTGCACTGGTTGAACAACATTTTCGGCAAACTCATACTCGACATACGGATGGACGTTACATTGTCGAACTACCATTTAAGGAACAGAATACCTCATTCGGAGACACTTACAAAGGTGCCTTGAGAAGATTTAACGCTACTGAACGTAGACTTAGTAGGAACACAAAGTTAAGGGAGAATTATATCAAGTTTATGAAAGAATACCATAATTTAGGACATATGCGTGAACTTTCACCAGAGGAGATAGACGTCGCCGACGGTCATTTGTTTTATTTACCGCATCATCCAATTATTGGTTCTAAACTATTGGTTCAGGATGTTGATAACATATCTCTAAATGACAAACTACATATTGGCCCTTCAATTCAACGTAATTTATTTGCCGTCTGTTTGCGTTTTCGGTTATATAAGGTCGTATTCTCTGCAGATATCATTAAGATGTTTCGGCAGATTTGGGTGGCTGAAGAACACCGAAATTTTCAATGGATTCTGTGGAGAGAAGATCCCAATGGGAACTTAAACACTTTCAATTATGTACGGTTACATATGGAACATCTTCCGCACCACATCTATCAGTTAGGGTATTGGAACAATTAGCGAGAGATTACCAAGAATCCCATCCTAATGCATCAAGAATCTTACTCGAAGACTTCTATGTCGATGACGTATTAACAGGTGCTTCATCAGAAGAGGAACTTATTTTAAATCGAAAGGAGCTCATCGACTTACTTTCACAAGCAGGACTTGAGTTAAGTAAATGGGTATCCAACTGCGAATCTATTAGCCCACCAATTAAAAATGGGGAAAACTTTCTACGTGAAGGTCAGGATAAATCTACAAAGGTTTTGGGTATTTATTGGAACTCAGAGAAGGATAGTATTCAATATAGTGTAAATTTGAATGGCTCACAATTAGCAACAAAACGAAAGGTTATCTCTGATGTCGCTCGAATTTTCGACCCTCTTGTCTTGGTATCACCTATCGTAGTGAAATTCAAAATCTTATTCCAGGAAATATGGTTACTTAATCTTGAGTGGGATAAACCACTACCGCAGGACTTGGCTAGGCTGTGGATCAAGTATAGAGATGATCTTCACAATCTTACAAAATTGAAGCTACCTCGATATGTACCTAACTTGAACACAAGCATTCAACAGCACGGGTTTAGTGATGCCTCAATTAAGGCTTATGCTGCTGTTGTATATTGCAGAATGGAGGACGCTGAGGGAAATATTTCCATCACACTCATCGCGTCAAAGACTCGTGTGGCACCACTCAAGCAAATATCCCTTCCTAGGTTGGAGTTATGCCTTGCATTACTTCTTACTCGTTTAATTAAGACGACCATTTCTTCATTGTCTCATCAACAAATTGATGTAAAACGTTTTATAAACCTACGGATACACAAAATCAAGAATCCTGCTGAATATCTAACTTGCGATGAAATTAGACAAGGCAAGATCATTTGTCTCAGAATGGCGCAAAATAGTTTCTCAGCGGAGAAGAAAAGTTTACTACAGGAACGGAAGGTTGACAACAATTCGAAATTAATTCAACTTTCACCATTTATCGATAATGATGGACTTATAAGAGTAGGTGGACGAATTTCGAACTCTGAACTTTCATCTGAAATTCAACATCCGATCATTCTGCCGAAAGGTCACAAAATCACAACCCTAATCCTTAGGGAAGAACACGTTAAGAATTTGCATCCTGGCGTCTCATTTTTTGATAGGCAGGCCGACTACTCTGATACCTGAGGGTAACTTAACTGAATTGAAACCAAATCGGCTTGACTATTGGCAACACGTACGATGCATGTACCAAGGTTTTTGGCGAAGATCGACATCACTTCAACAAACGAATGTTCCATTTATGGGAACAATTCCCATAAATAGATCATTCGTATTTTTATACCCACCATCAAAAAAGATGGGGGTATATTGATTTTGTCATTCCGTTTGTAACACATCGAAATATTGGTCATAGACCCACAAAAGTATATATATTCTGGGTCCTCATTAAATTCTAAGACGATCTAGCCATGTCTGTCCGTCCGTCTGTCTGTCTGTTGAAAGCACGATAGAGTTCGAATGGAAAGAGCTGGAGGGTTGAAATTTCACACAAATATTTCTTATAGGTAAGGTTTGTTTGGTATTGAAAATGGGCAATATCGGTCGGATAGCCCCCATAGAAGTGGCCCCTCGAAAAGCAGCTTTAACAGCCATAACTTGTTTAAAAATACGAATATGTGGATGAAATTCGATATAAGTAAGTTAATTATGATCTAAAATCACTATGCAAAATTTTATGAGGATCGGTCCATAATTGACCCTACCCCCATATAAGGTCGCCTTCAGAAAATGACTTTAACGCCCATCACTGGCTTAAAAATACTAGTATATAGATGAAATTCGACATAAGTAAGTTTCATACGAGTCAAAATCTATCTAAACAATTTTATAAGGATCGGACCATGATTGACCCTACCCCCCATATAAGGGCCCCTTCAGAAAATGACTGCAACGCTCATTAATGGTTTAAAAATATGAGTGTAGCGATGAAATTCGACACAAATAAGTTTAATACGAACCAAATTCTGTCTACCAAATTTATGACCTACACCCCCCCCCCCCTATATAAGGTCCCCTTCAGAAAATTACTTTTACGCTTGTAACTGGCCTAAAAATACGAGTATATAGATGAAATTCGACATAAGTAAGTTTCATTCGAGTCAAACGAGGTTTGATGGTGGGTATATAAGATTCGGCATAGCCGAATATAACACTCTTACTTGTTTATTATTATTATTATTATATAACACATTTACATACATAAACATTTTGATCTCTAAAGTTACACTAAAAAGCTTACTCTCACATTGCTCATTGTATGTAATATTAATTTCTATTTTTATTCAACCCTTATTTATATAATGAATTATTTAAGTTTGTTAGTTGTTCTTTTACACTTTGATGAGTAAGTCTAGTTGCAACACAAATATTTGTATAGTCCACAAAAACAAAATATGAAACAACATAAAAGTAAATAAAACGTAATTAATTTTAATATGGAAATAAATGAAGTGCGTTTTTATTAATCGGTTATCCACCATCATTATTTTTCACTTTTACACGAATATAAAAAGATTATTATTTATCGTCAAGAGGAAAAATCAGGATTTATATGGAATTTTCTGCCCTATACCATTACAATTTATATTATGTGAGTCAGGTAATGTTACTAAAAATCAAAAATAATAGTACTTAACTAAGCTTAAAGGACTCCAATTGACTCAAAATCACTTCCAGAATTGATTAATATTAAATTACAGATCTGAAGCTTAAAGATATCTAGGAAAAATTTGGTATATAGCACTACTATGGTCCAAGAAAGATGGTGATAAGTTGCTTTTAGCCACATAGCCCCGCTTAAATACTCGTAAGCTCCTTGAATCGTTATAAAATTAGTCACGATTATGTTTTAAGTATCTACAAATAATTCTGTACAGTTTTTTTTTTTAAATCGGACCACATTTGATCCAATGCCCATATAAGGCCCATTTCAGAAAATTGTTTTTATGTTTATATTAGTCTTATAAATATTTGTATAATAATAAATGAACTGAATTCGTAAACTAAATTTTATGAGGATCAATGTAAATCCAAATTCCTATGGACTTCCTTCAGAAAATCGGTGGCCGTCTACAAATTTTATAAATATTTATGAATTAATTAACGATAAATTAAGTTCATAATTATTTTTTACGCTACAAATAAAAAAATTATTTTATATTTATTTTTAAAAACTAACGACCGCATATTAAAAAATGCCTTTTTACAATAAACCGAATTATTCGACTGCTGCAAACATTGGAAATAAAACTCAGTAGCAAAAACCGGTCGAAGAAAACCGGGTAGTTCTCCTTAGTGAGAAGTATTCTATTCGTTTTAAACACCAATGATGAGCACATTAGTTCCAAATTTGTATAATATGAAAAAAAAGTAATTTTGTTTTGCTGTTTCATGAAATAAAAAATATTCTTTTAAAGAAGTTTCAAAAATGCTATTATTTTGAATAATAGAAAAATTATTTTTAACGTTAACTAAAGTTTAGTAGAAACATTTATTATGAAATATTTTAAACAAATAACAATAATAATAACAATGTAAAAAAAAACAAATAATATTAAATTAATTAAACAAGAGAAATAAAACAAATTAATTTCTTTGAACTTAAAATTCTTTTATTTTCTTTATTCCACATTTTAAACTAATAAATAAACTGTTTTTAATAACATTTTAGTTTTTTGTTATGGTAAACAGCCAAAATAGATTGAATTTTGTGTTTATATGCTGAAATAAACAATTGACAACACTAAACTTTCCCCTACAAACATTTTATATTGCGGAAGTTACCCGTGTGAAACTTCCAAACGTGCTAAAAGCTCGCCAGCGATATTGCGAAAGTATACGATTTCTTATCACCAGTCGTGAAGAACTGATGCAGAGCTGCATAACGTCTACGCGTAACGTGGAAAATACTTCTGGAAGATCCACAGAAGAAACTTCTAGATGACTTTTAGAAGTAAGGTATTGCCAAAGACTCTTCTGGATGTGACAAGGAAGTCACTTCTAGGAGTTTTATAGTTTTTATTGAAGTAATGGAAAAAATATTTAATTTAACAACTAATTTAAAAGTAGTATGTATATGTATGAAATATAATAAGATAATTTTTAGGAAATCTGTATCTGAAACTTACCAGATCCCTATTAATATTTAAATTCGGCTAGAAGTATTTTAATAGGGGGTACAATATTTGCTATTGCTTTCTAAAAAAATTCACATAATTAAAAATTAATTAATTTATTTATTGTTTTAAATCAACATTACCCTTCATGAACATTTTTTAAAACATTAATATAACATGAAATTAAACCATATATAAAAAGATCTGAAGCTATTGAGTCATGGATTATTTTTAAAATTATTTACAGTGACTAACGATAGGAACACTTTAACGACCCTAAACGGGATATTTCTTTTGACACTAATACTACAATACTATTTTTTGTTTGCTCTCTTCCAATTAAGGAGTTATACATGTTCAAAAACTATATACTTACTTAAGTTCAATATCTTGCGAACGAGATTCACAATTTTATGAATAAGTATTAGTATCATAGGATAGGTGCTATATGATACCGACTATATGATACCCTACACCAGCTATTAATATTTAATGTGATTTATTTTTATACCACCATAAAAAAAGATGGGGGTATATTGTTTATGTCATTTCGTTTGTAACACATCGAAATATTTATCATAAAAATATATATTCTGGATCCTTATTAAATTCTAAGACGATCTAGCTATGTCCGTCCGTCTGTCTATCTGTCTGTAGGTTTAAAACACGATAGAGTCCAAATGGAAGTAGCTAGTGGGCTGAAATTTTGCACAGACATTTTATATTGATGCAGTTTGTTTGGTATTGAAACTGGGCAATATCGATCCACGAATTCGCCTAGCCCCTATATAAGGTCCCCTTCACAAAATGACTTTAACGCTCATAACTGTCTAAAAGAAGCATCTATAGCGATGTAATTCGACATGAACATATTTTACAGGAACCTAAATCGTTTTGTAAAATTTTATAAGGGTCGGTTCGTAATTGATCCTACCCCCATATAAAGCCCCCTTCAGAAAATGGCTTTGACGCTCATTACTGCCTAAACTAAAATCGTTCTAGAATATTTGACGAGGATCGGTCCATAATAAAAAGGGCTGGATAGATTTGTATTTATATAATATATTTAATATTTGTCTGTGCTAAACTTCATTACAATAACAGTGCTAATAAATGAATTGCGGATATTCAAGTCACTTTCTGAGGGGGGCTTTGTGTGGGGGCTAAGGTTAAATGAAGTCCGATCATTTCGAAATTCGGCACGGTCATCAAGGCTTGTATAAAACTTAGTTGTGCGAACTTTCATCGAGATACATTTATATTATAAATAATTATGAGCTCAAAAGCCCTTTTCGGGGGGTTCAGTTGTATGGGGGCTAGGTGAAATAATGGACCGATTTTAACCATTTTCAATAGTCCTTAGGTCAAAACAAACACGTATTCCAAATATCATCAAATTATTTTGAAAATTGCGACCTGTACTTTGATAACAACGTTTACATGGACACACGGACGGACGGACATCGACTCAGAAAGTGATTCTGAGTCGATCGGTATACTTTAAAGTGGGTATAGTACTAATATTTTAATGCGTTACAAACATCAGCACAAACGCATAATACCCTTCCCACTATAGTGGTGTAGGGTATAAAAATTAAATTTAAACAAAATTAAACTTAAAAAAATATTCAAATTTTTTTTGAAACATTGATAGCTAATAAGCACCTTTGGACAATTGATGTACATATAAATAAATGAAAGCTATGAGTGTTTTCTATCAAATGATGGTTTAAGAAAATCATAATTTTCTTACTGGTGAATCAAATCCTAATCCTAATATATATTATAAATCTCTTTGTAAGTCTGTTCGTTTGTTTATTTATTTGTTTGTTTGTTCGTCAATCACGCCTAAGCGGCTGGACCGATTTTCTTCAAATTTGGAACATGGTTAGATCTATACTTGGAGAGTGTTATAGGCTTTTTTTCAGAACTTGGACTAGGAGGGGGCAAAAAGGGTAAAATGGTAAAATGGGTGAAAAACGGGCAAAATGAGTACTATTGATAGTAAAT